TCAGGAGGCTCTTTCTTTGTTATTCAAAAAGTGTGAAAGTTCTCACCTATTTCAATCACACTTCCTCTTTCCTTCTTTCCATTGGAAATTGCCCCAGCTTTGTAGCAGTTCAATGACCACTTTCTTTTCACATTGGCTAGAGAGGCTATCTCTTGATCTACCATGGATATTGCAGTATCCCTGGCATCAGCAGAGTGTCCTCTCCTCGATCATCATCTCTCCAAGACAATTTAGGTCCAAAGGTTAGGGTTAGGATATTGGTGTTCTCCCTAGGAGCTCCACTGCGATGTCAGCTCCTCCATTAAGCCAGCAGCCTCCAATCTCCAGGGACCAGTTCCGTGGAAAAAGGTATTTCCATAGACCATGCTGCCCGCATCCCATGGATAGAACTTTGCTTGTTTGCATGGCCTGATTTCTGGCATGCTGTGGCCCAATGCCAGTCCATGCACCAGGGGCTGGGGACCCCTGCATTAAGATATTGCCTCCAATGTCTTTTTGTTTTACTTCCCTCTATTTTTCCCAACCATGCTTTTTTCCATCATTGGTGATCCAGATTCAGAACTGCAATCCTAAATGTATTCACCATGAACACGCTATGCAGGCCCATCCCCTATCCATCCTAGGTCATGCAGGGAGGAGAGGATCAGGGAAAAGTGAGGTCTACTCAAGAGGAGATTACCATGATCCTCCTCGTGATTTGCAGCTGGGAGCTATGTATATAAGTTTGTAACTACGCAGTTAGAATTGCTGGAGTCAAAGTTTAGTGTTTACTTTGAAAGAGGTTTATCTTTGCTGGCGTTCTTCCCATGGACTCTCCTCAGTTATTTTCCTGGAGTTTATGATTAGTTATCTTGGCTTGCTTCGGAACTCTCGTCAATGTGGTTTGTTTTGGTTTTCTTTTAACTGTGGTTAACTTTAAACTTTGGTTAACTTTAAACTGTGCCTAATAAAACAGTGAAGTTAAGTTGAAGGCCTTACTGGACTTTAATGTATGTTTTGGGTTTTGGGTTATTTTGAGAGAATACATGTCATCACACTAGGATGACAGACAGACCCAAAGTCACCCAGCTGGCCCAAGATGACACTAGAACTCACAGTCTCCTCGTTTCTAGCCTGATAGCATACACCAAACTGACTCTCATTTTAATAAGCTTAGAGGTTTAGGTACTTCTCCACCCCAAAAATATGAATACTTGAGGTTTCTTCAATAATTCCTTCCCATGTATTGTACTGTGCCTACAAATGTATAATAGAATATAATCAGCCTAGAGTTTAATCAATGCTTGCTATAACTCAAGTTGTTTTTCCCTGTACACGAAACAGTAACTTCTACTTGAATCTTCTGTGTAATGTTCAGTCGCCATAGCAATAAGACCAAGAGAAAGGGGGCAATTCTGTTTAGCTCCCTGATGTAATTAAATTGGTTTCAAAATGCCTGACTTTCTGCAAATTCTAGCTGCTAATCTGGTGTATAACTGTACACGTTCAAGCTCTTGGGGTCTAAATTTAATTTCAGAGATACTCCTATAGAATCTAATACTGGGAAAGAAGGAAATAGTGCTTCATGCTGACACTATTACTTGGAAAATCTACTACCTTTATTATTTTTTAAAAATGTGGCATGTATTTAAGAGCCAAACCTGTACAATCAAATCATATCTTATACACACAATTCTTATAGTGTCTAATTGATTGTTGATTACTTTGTGTGCATTGGACATGGCACTGAATTTGGACAGATACATGTATCTATATAATTATATTCATCGACTACCACCCCACAAGAAACAGATTTTTCAGAATTTGTCACAAAATTTTTCAATATGTGTTTGTCCAAATGTCTGTTATTATACTCAGACACTGAGAACTCAATGTTTGAGATTTAGTTGATTTCAAAACTTTGTCATCACTAGAGATTATATACTTTTTTAAATAGAGCTTGCAACTGGAGAGACACAACTGTGATGATAGGTAGATAATTGTTTAGAATGGCTGCTTGGTTTGATCTCTACTTGATATTCCTTATGCACTTTCAGTGGCTGTTGGATTACCTGGTAATATAATTGGCAATACATATTTAATCTTGCTGTTCAGGAAAACTAAATTAGGAAGGGTCACTTCTTTCCAAATGTCTTCCAAATAATCTTATGTCATCTTCGCCAAAGAATAGTTTTAAATCTTCTTAATGTCCACAGCATCCGGAGATGTATTTGTGACCCATAATTTTTTCTGGCAAATGGATTTGAAATTTATCTTTGGAATATATGTGTCTTCATCTTTTTTGTGTCTTAGACTATAATATGGTTTTTTAAATACCCTTGCTTCTTCAGAGAATCTCATTTGCTTAGATGACATTTAGCAAATACTGTAGCTGCCTCCAAATCACTCAATTCCTTTCAGTCCAGTGGTGGGATTCAACATTTTTTACTACCGGCTCTGTGGACATGGCTTGGTGGGTGTGGCAGGGGAAGGATACTGCAAAATCTCCATTCCCTCCCCACTCCAGGAGGAAGGTTACTGCAAAATCCCGTTCCCTCCCCATCCCACTAACCTTTTCTCCAGCTCTGTTCTCCTGTGCAGGGCAACAAAAGAAGACCCAGCCGATCAGCTGGGACTCAGGAGGCAGAGAATAGATGGAGACGGGGCCAGTCAGAGGTGGTATTTGCCGGTTCTCTGAACTACTCAAAATTTCTGCTACTGGTTCTCCGGAACTGGTCAGAACCAGTTGAATATTACCTCTGTTTCAGTCCCTCCCTGAAGATGAGGGAGATTAACAGTTCAAAAATATAATAAATAAATAAAATAAAATAAATATAGGTAGTCCTTGATTTACAGCAGATTGTTTAGTGACTATTCAAAGTTACAATGGCCCTGGAAAAGTGACTTATTTTTCACAGTTATGACCATTGCACAATGGGATCATTGCAACTTTCCTGGGATTATGTGACCAGATTTTGCTATTTTCAACAAGCAAACCAGATTTGTTTAACAACCATGTCACTAACTTAACAGCTGTAATGATTCATTTAACAACAATGGCAAGAAAAGTTGCAAAATTCATTTAACTTAGAACAAAAATTTTGGGCTCAATTGCGGTTGTACGTTGAGGACTATGTAGTGTTTTGGCCACGTGATTCATCACCAGGCCAAATCAAGCATCACAATCTTATAACGATGATCATGGTAATTTCTGACATATCCACTCAGGTCAGGAATTAATGCTATTCCTGTGTTAAACAACTGTAAATAGTTATTATCTAAGGGTCTATACGTAGGGTGCTGCATTAGTTTTAGTGTTTTCCAGTGAGCGGTTTTCTCAGCCAGACTTCAAACCTGTAAACTAACTTTCTTCCAATATTTACTTCAGTAAGTTGCACTATAAAACATGGTGAATATAGAATACACCAAATTTTCAACTACATATCTGAAAATATTATTTCCATTGCTAAGCAATATGCAACCTGTTTTCATTTTACTGAATCCAGAAGGATGCATCAATAGATCTATCCTGTAAAACTAATTGTACTGATGTATATATGTTATGTATGTCTATGGATGGGAAAGGAAAGAAGAAGCGCACTCTCTGCTGATATAAAAATAAGATGAATGTGACATTAAATTAAGTGCAGGCTTGTAATCTGTAGTGCCCAATGGTTTGGCCAACTCCTTCATGTACGTTCACATGCTCCAGATCTCCACAGACATACAGCATATGAAGGAGATACTTCATCACTTTATTTTCCAAACTTAGCTGTGATGAAAATTGCTTTTAACTCTGGAAGCCTCACTGATGTTAATGAAAGCTTCTCCTTGGAGGTTAATGGCAGCTGCAACTGAAGGGGTGGTGGTGACAAGTTATTGGAATTGCAAGTTAAGTGTTTAGCATGATGTCTACTCTTTAATCATTAGAAGTTTTTTAAAAATAGATTTTGCATAGCTATTGCTAGCATAATTCCAAGGTGATGATTTTCCATTACACAGCCTACCATTACAGGACATCCCCTTTCATTTAAATGGGGAAGAACATATGCACATGTTCTCTTTTCAATATAATGAGTGGGGGAAAACTGAAGATGTAAGCTCTGCTTGTATCCATTGGAATTAACATTAAACTCTGAGAGCCAGTTTAATGTAGTAGTTCAGGTATCCAGGCTAGAAACCAGAAGACTGTGAGTTCTAGTTTTATCTTAGGCATGAAAAATCCTCTCTTAGCCCAACTGAGGGTTGTTGGTGGAAACAAAATAGGAGGAGGGGCGGATATTAGTTATGTTGGTCACCTTGAGTTATTTCTAAAAATAAAAAGGGTGGGATTTAAAAAGTCTTTAAAAAAACGCTATGCGTTATGTTGACATCTCTCCATACACCTTTATTTATAAAGCAGAGGACACTTTAAAAAAACTGTGGTAATCAGTTCTTCACCTTTCTCATAGTATGACAGGTCCCCCCCCTCCCCCGTTAGGAATGTAAGTCACCTAATAGTTGGGTTGGAAAATATATAAACCAGGATAGACATTTTAAGACTGTCTCTTTAAGAGAATGCTAAAACTGTAATTGGGTGTGGTTCCTCAAATGGCCATAAGATGGAGCCAGAAACCTGGGTTGCTTAGTCCTGTTCTGTCCTGTTCTGGAGAGTGTTGCCATCCCTACTGACTATTATTCTTGGAGTTGATGTAAATCTGTTACTGAACTGTTTTTAATACTGGACTTTGTTATTTGGATTATCCCTGGACTGAAAACTGACTGCTTTAACCGTGAATGACTTGCACTGCTTGTTTGGACTTTGCTTAAACATTTATTGGAAGTAAAAACCTACATTTTACTATACAGTGTATCTGTGTGCTAGTTGTGTGTTATTCTTCACGACTCTCACTACGTCTCCCTGTGTGTGCTCATTCTCCTAACAGGGAATTACCTCAACACTGGTTATGGGCCCAGGCCATACCAGGCTCAGATAACTGAGAGTTGGTGTGAATCACAGTACTGTATACAGACAGCTGTTTACAGTTTAATTGTGGGTTACTATCCTGGTAAAGATGACCCAAGACCCATCAACAAGTCTATCACTGATAACCCAGTTGGATGGAACAAACTATGTTTCCTGGTCTATGAAGTGCAGTCTACTTCTGCGTAGAGAAGGGTTATGGAATGCAGTTCAAGATCCAACAGATGTAAATACTTGGGATCCAGCTGATGAGGACAATGCCAAGAAGCTTGCTGACTTTAAACAGAACAACGAACAAGCTCTTTGTATAATTGGACTAACACTGAGTGACCAGCAGCTAGTCCATATTCGTGGAGAAGAGTCTGCTGCTAAGTGTTGGGAAAATTTGAAGAGGATTTATATTCGTGAAAGTGTAGGTGAGCATATACATCTTATACATAAACTGTTTAGAGCACGTCTTCTGAAAGGAAGAGATATGTTAGCTCATTTGAACTTCATGAAAAGAACTTTTCAAGAGCTACGTGAAAAGGAACTGATATTTTCAGGGCTGCATCAAGTTTACATTATTCTTTCCTCATTGGATGAAAGTTATGATGATTACGTATCTTCACTGGAAGTCCTGACCAAAGATGAACTGACATTGACTGACATAACCGGAAGGTTGTTAGAAGAGGCAAGAAGACGGCTGGATAGGGACCAACTGAGGAAGAAACAACCACAAGAAGAGGATTTGTATTCAACTGCCTATACTGTTAGGAAATGTTTTTTCTTGTGGGGCTAGGGGACATATAGCTAGATTCTGTAAGAAAGGAAAACAACAGAATACTGTTGTATTCTCAAAAGGCGAAGAAGAATGTTAGTTTAACTATGTCTAGCAATTCAACTGTAAACCATGATTTGTGGGTTGTTGATAGTGGAGGATCGTAATGCATTACTAAAGTTAGAGAGAGATTTGTAACGATGTCTACGAGTAAGCAACATGTATCATTGGCAAATGGATGGAAGATGAAAGCTTCTGGTGAAGGTACTGCATATTGTTTTTGTGTAAATGAGCATTTAACTATGTTATATGTACCTAAACTGAAATTTAATTTTGCTATCAGTAAGGGCTTTAGTTAATATTGGTTATGTAGTAACCTTTAGGGGAGATAACTATATAATAGAGAAAGAGGGTAAAAGTGTTACTGCTACTTTAGAGAATGATTTATATGTGATACATGATGACCAGTTGCAGATGGCTAACTCAGTTTATAACAATGTTAAGCCACATGATGAATGTATACATTTACTGCATAGACGTCTGGGGCACATTAATTTCAAAATGCTCAAACAAACTGTTGAATTGTCAGAGGGAGTAAAATTAAAACCCTGTAGCAAGTATTTAAACTGTAATGCTTGTAGCCAAGAGAAAAAAGCAAAGTTATTCCAGCAAACAGATTGAATGGTTTTAAGACCAAAGAACCTTTAGAGGTTGTGTTTGCTGACACAATTGGTCCTAAGAAATCCAGTTTGGGAGGTGCCTGCTATGTTTTGAGTATAATGGACCATTACTCAGGGTACGGTTTCTGCTATCTCATGAAAAACAAAACAGAAACATTCCAACATTTCTTTAACTGGCTAAGATTTGCTGAGAGAAAAATGAGGAGTAAAGTAATTACTTTAGTTACTGATAATGAATTTATTAACAAGAGATTCCAAACTATGTTGAAATTGGCTGGTGTCGAGCATAAACGTTCTGCACCTTACAGACTACAACATAACTCGTTTGTAGAATGAAGAGGGCAAACATTACAAGCCATGGCTCGCACTATGTTATCTGATTCAGGTTTGCCTGAAACACTGTGGGGTGAAGCCATAATGTGTAGTAACCATGTTTTAAACAATGTAGTTAACACAACAACTGGAGAATTGCCATTCACTCATTGGCATGGCAAAAAACCAAATTTAAGTGACCTACACACATTTGGAGCTCCAGCATGGGTGCATATTCCCTCACAAGTAAGACTGAAAGGGCAACATAGAGCTAGGAAATTATTTTTCATAGGTTACAAAGCCAACCATAGAACGTTTCGATTCTGGGATCAAGGCACAGCTCATGTTTATTGTAGCGCTAGTGCTAAATTTTTTGAGCACGTTGGGTGGAATAAACTGGAACAGGAATCCAGCAATGATATTATTATTGACACCCAAATAGTCCCTAAAGATGAAATAAGTAAACCACAAATAGCCATTAGAGAGGAAGAAAAGGAGGAAGTAGGAGAACAGGCACAGGAGGAGGTAGGAGAACAGGAGCAGGTGGAACAGGAGAGTCTACCAGTAAGCCCTGTATTACCTAGACTTTCAACCCGAGTAACACGACCACCTGATAGATATCAGGCTAGTGTTGTATGCCAAGTGAGTACAGTTCCTGGTAACTATAGTGAACTGAAACTGTATCCTGCTAAGGATCAGGCTGCTTGGCAGGAAGCAATGGATAAGGAACTGGAATCATTAAAAAAGTTGGAGGTATACTAAAATGTTAAGTTACCATCTGGTAAACACGCCATAGGGTGTAAATGGGTTTATAAACTTAAGACTAGTGAAGATGGGACTGTTACCCATAAAGCCAGGTTAGTAGCACAAGGATTCAATCAGACAACAAATGACTATGATGAGGTGTTTGCACCTAGTCTGAAGGCTACTACATTAAGGGCAGCTTTAGTGTGGGCAGCTAAAGAGAAATACATTATAAATCATTTAGATGTAGAGAATGCTTATCTGCATGGACCATTGCAACACACTATATATTTAAAGAAACCTTTAGGTATCAAAAATGATAATACAACTGACTGCTGGAGATTGAAAAAGAGTCTTTATGGCTTAAAACAATCAGGATATGAGTGGAACCAGTGTATAGTTAAAGAATTAACTAAGATAGGTTATGTAGCTGGCATGGCTGATCCATGTTTGTTTAAAAAGGAAAGTAATGGTGTAAGTTCATTGTTGCTATTGTTTACTGATGACATAGCATTAATCACCAAAACTGAACAAGAAGCTACTAAAATAATTTCACTGTTAGAGGAGAAATTTAAGATAAAACAGTTAGGTGAAATTAAACAACATCTTGGCTTAAAGATAGATAAAACTAGGGGAGGATACAAAATCTCACAGGCAGATAAAATTAACCAATTACTAAAAAGTTTTAAAATGAAACTTTGTAAACTGGCTAAAACACCGATGAGCCAGGAGTTTAGCCACAGTGATGTTCAAAGTCCTGTTTTTGATAAGAACATTTATCAGTCCTTGATTGGTAGTTTATCTTATCTCAGTAATTGGTCAAGGCCAGATATAGCATACTGTGTTAACCAATTAGCAAGATTTAATGCTGAGCCAACTGAAAGACACTGGCAAGCTGCTAAGCGTGTGTTAAGATATCTGAAACAAACAATGCATTATGCATTGTATTTGGAGCCTAAAGATGAATTGAGTTTAACTGCATATGCCGATGCAAGTTTTGCTACAGACATAAATACACGTAAATCTACATCAGGTACTGTAGTATTATTGGGAAAGGTGTTGATTGGATGGAGGTCTATTTGACAAAAACATTTAAGTTTGTCAACAATAGAGGCTGAATTCTCATGTTTGTCTTTATTATGTACAGATTTAATTTGTTATAAGCAACTATTAATTGATATGGGAATTGATGTAACAGATTCTATTGTTGTTTATGAAGACAACCAATCAGCAATACAGATGGCTTCAAATATTGCTGTTAAAACAAGAACAAAACACACAGATTTAAGATATTTAAATGTGAGACAATGTGTGCAAAGTAAGATGATTAAGCTGGAATACTGCATGTCAGAAAATAACATCACAGATCATTTTACAAAAGCCCAAGGCTCTGTAAAGCATAAGGCTTGATGTGAGGATTATGGACTTAGAATGTAAGGTTGTATATATTGTCCTACCCAAAGGGGAGAATGTTAGGAATGTAAGTCACCTAATAGTTGGGTTGGAAAATATATAAACCAGGATAGACATTTTAATACTGTCTCTTTAAGAGAATACTAAAACTGTAATTGGGTGTGGTTCCTCAAATGGCCATAAGATGGAGCCAGAAACCTGGGTTGCTTAGTCCTGTTCTGTTCTGTTCTGGAGAGTGTTGCCATCCCTATTGACTGTTATTCTTGGAGTTGATGTAAATCTGTTACTGAACTGTTTTTAATACTGGACTTTGTTATTTGGATTATCTCTGGACTGAAAACTGACTGCTTTAACCGTGAATGACTTGGACTGCTTGTTTGGACTTTGCTTAAACGTTTATTGGAAGTAAAAACCTACACTTTACTATACAGTGTATCTGTGTGCTAATTGTGTGTTATTCTTCACTACTCTCACTACGTCTCCCTGTGTGCACTCATTCTCCTAACGGGGAATTACCTCAACACCCCCAAAATGCAGATTTTATTTTTAACAGGAAATCATGTGCCTCATGTAATAAAAAAGTATAAAACATTCAACTCAACCTTAAGAAGCCAAGTCTTCTTCCTTTTACGATCTGAGAAAAAATAGAAAACTCCACTTTGGAAATGAAGCAGAAAATTGTATCTAGAGATCACTTTTAAGGTAAATGGAGGAATAATAAAGGGAAACATTATCCCTTTGTCATCTTCTTTTAATGACACCATAATTCCTTGCAGGGTGGGGTCTAGGCAACTGAATGGAGCTGAGTGTTTACTGGCCGGATGCCCTTCCTGTCATCAATGTGGAGTTATATTCAGCAGATACATTTTCATTGTGCCCAGAGAGAGAAATATCTGCCTCTACCTAGGATTGTACTCACGGCCTCCTGATTGTGAGGTGAGAGCTCCATTGTTTGGCCACCACACCACTCAACATTATCCTTTTGTGCTCTCCAAAAATGGTTGCTGGCCAGATCCAGTGATGGGGCAACTGGACAGTGCAGCTAAACCATAAACTAAAAAAAGGACTAAGTTTTATATTCAAAGTACTGCAGCAATGTATTTGGAGAACTTCAAAGAACATCTCTGATGCATAAGTACTGAAAGACGTGCTACATTCATACCCTATCTTTTTTAGGTCATTCTTTGACTAGACCCTACTGGTCAGGTTAGTGCTTTAACTGTTAACATTATAAATAGCTTCACAACCAAGCTAGTCTTATAACCAGTGAAGTAAAAAGTGAAGGGCAAAAGGAAAAAATATTGTATGTTTCCTGCCATCATAAATTGTGTAAAACTCTGAGTTCTATTTTACAAGCAAATGGAGGTTTGATCTGGGTGCTCCTCTAGGCATGAGGCCAATTTCCTAATTTATTGCTGTCTCACAGTATATAGTAATTATTTGTGAGTAATAAAAAAATCACAGGTTCAAAATTCGTAAGTATTATAAAAACCTTTCTGGGAACAAACATTTCTATAATTTTTTAATCATCATTCTTTCATGATTGTATCCAAAATCAATATTATTTTCCTCATTATTAAGTGGGACAAAAAACTAAAATAACAAATTAATACTCTGTTACATATTTGAATGCCAAGTTTTCATTGGCAATCTATCAGTGCGGATATGAATTTGAAAGCTCAACATAATTCTTAAAGAACAGTCTTATTTATGAAGCTAAATTATTCTGCAGCTTTGCTAAGCATAACAATATGGCATTATTCTGGTAATGGTGGTGAGAACTCTTGTTCTATTAGGAAGATCCACAACAAAGAGAAAATCATGGGAATTTCAGGCAATAACAATCACAAAACAGTGCAGAAAGTTTTTTTTCCTTCAAGAAATATCAAAGAGTCAATCCTATATTATTTTCTCTTACAGTGTCATCATGTAACTAGTGCAGAGTGAAATGCATTGGTCTGTCCTTGAACACACGTAAATATAACACTTGGATATAAATAGTACCAATAATCTTCAGATACAGCCAGAAACCAAAAAGTAAAGAAGAAAACATATAGAAAAGAGTGCACAATTACATTTCATATAAAGAAAGTAGCAAACAATGAAAGAAATCTCACCACTCAAGGATGATATGACTTCTGAAGGAACAAGGTATCTTCACCAATACAATGTTTGTATTTATGGATAAATACATTCGCATACATTCATAATATTTTTTTCCAGAATGTATATTATAGAAGTTATTAACAGAGGCAGCTGCTACATTATTGTTGAAGGATAAATTAACTCCTTTATTTACAACTTGCTGCTTCTACTACAATGTAAGTCAAAGCCCATCTAGCCCTGGCAAAATTATAGAAAAAAAAAAGACATCAGTGGGAAGATAAGAGAATGAAGAGAGGGACTTTACTACAGACTTTAAAGACTGATAAAAGTAAATATTTGTAACTCAGGGTTAAACTGAGGGATGCTTAATGCACTCTGAACTTGGAGGTTTTCTTGCAGACATTTTATTACCAAACTAGGTAACATCCTCAGTGCAGTGATGATGTTATTTCGTTTGATAATGAAACACCTGCAAGAAAACTATCAAGTTCAGAGAATGCCAAAGATCCCACTTTATAGACCAGAGATTCCACATCCCAAGTATATAATGTCTGCTCTTGCTTAAAGACCAAGTATGAACTTTCTTCTCCCATAGTAATCCTCCTGTTACTGAAATTTCTCTCATGGACAAAAGAGTTTTTCCTTACTTGCAGATAGGTAAGAGGCTGGTTATTAGGTAATATACTGTTGGAAGAAATACCCATTTGGTTCAGTTCCAAGTGGGGATAAAGACACTGGAAACATGGAAGCTGATTGAAAGATGGTTTATTGATAAACAGGACCACATTGGTTTGAGGTCCTGGTGCAGCTGCCTACATGGAGGAGAGAGAGAAAGAGGTATTTATATCCTCTCTTGGGCCTTGCCCTTGAACTTCCTGTTCCTGTGACAAAGGCATGTATTCTATTGGTTGCTGTCAGACTCGCAGGGGGCCATTTGAGGTCATTTTGTCTTGAAGTCAAATTTGGTTGAAGTGTGCTGATGCAATAAAGGGGCTGAGGGCTAAAGCTACAGACCTTGCTGCTGGGAGTAATGGATTACCAAATCTGCATTTCTAAAGGCTGGCCTCAGTTTAGTATCTGCTTGGGAGCAGGGAGCTGAGGCTCTGAATTTCCGCCTTTAGGAACATGTTTCTCCTTTAGAGAAATATAATACTCTGCCTTTTTAATATTTCATAAAATATTTCATTCTTCTAAGAGGGGTGTGTGCTAACTTTCTACAATTCTTAACAATGATATTCTTAAAAATGATATCTTTCTGTTGCCTTTTGAGATGAATTATTACTTTCCCATTTAAAAAATATTTTTGTACAGCTTTTTATTATTTTGTAGTAAATTATAAAAACCTTCACCATTTTAAACAACATGAATTTCTTTCCTAAAGTAAAGCAGTTCCGGACTTTTCATTTTTGCTACCTCCCTTTTTACGATCCAGCCATTCTTAGACAAAAAGCCAAAGTGACTTTCTGAATGAGTGTGAATAATGAAAGAAAGGCTGTTTTGTAACTCATGGTATTCCTTTTAGAAGAAAAGAAAGTTGAACTGAATGGCCTCTGTGTGAGCCATTTTTTTTAAAAAAAAAATGTACTTAGAGGGTATTCCATAAGATAGGGACAGCCATGGAAAAGGTAATCTTTCTAGGTGCCACTAGAGGGCACTATTTCAAGTAAGAAATTAGGACCACACCTATCCTATCTGATCTAGTGAGATGGGCAGGTAACCTCAGGGACATGAGGTCCCACAAATAGCCTGATTTTTTGAGAAATCTTGCCAAGAAAACTGCAGCAACTAGTCCAGGTAGGGGCTATGAATCCAACCTTCATGTGAAGGCACACCTACTTACCTACAAACATTATAGTTTTTTTTTAAAAAAAAAACTGGGCTGATCATACTTGCAACTCATGTCAAAATAGCGAAGAATCAGAGTTTGAGAGCCAGTTTCACAGAATATGATGATATATTTTTATATGTATCCATTTCATGTATTCATAACTATGTTTATACTTATACCTGTTATCTTATAATTGCTTGACAAAATAAAATAAAAATAAAAAATATATGATTGTTTAAGAATTCAATAATAGACACCCAAGAGCCACAAAGTAACATTTTGTCTGGTGCATAAGCTAAGTGATATAAAAATGGACAGATGTCCCAAAAGTTAAAAAAAAAAAAAGTAAGAAATTGACCACTGCTTGAAATTAATGGGGATAGCAGGACATTTTTAGGTGGGCATTGCTTTAGTGCCCTTCCAAAATGAATACAGGTTTGTAACCAGAAGGCCCCATATTTTCTAATTCTCTGAATCCTGTCTTTAAAACACCATTTAAGTCAACACATACCATATGGTTTGGCTCTGACTGGCTTGAAAGGAGACTTCAAGTCAATGCTTTTCTTTAAGAAAAAATGCTGAATCAGCATTTCTCTCTGAGGTACAAGGCGAGTAGCCATCTTATTTAGTTTTAGATAAAAGTAGCTTCTGTGCTAATGTAGGAGCCTTTCTGGTGGATCAGAGCATCTACCCATCTGGGCAAGCTGACTCAATTGGATCTTCAACACAACAGTTCAAGGTAATGTGGCTTAATTTAGCAAGTCAAGGAAGTCTAAATAGGAACGCTGTTTTATCAGGCCTTCTAAATAAGGTTTAGCCCCAGCCATGAGTGCTGCCATATTTGAAGTCCTCAATTGAATCAATACGTTTTAACCCTGTCAAAAAAAATGTCCACAATATGATATAATTCCAAATTACTTCTACCATTTAGCTATCCCCACACACATTTAAAGATTTTATTTATTTATTTATTTATTTATTTATTTATTTATGAGCTGCGTGCTCAGCCGTGCAATGCAAGCAAAGGTGCAGACCTATGTTTTTACATTTTTATGGAAGGCCAGGAGAGAGGGCGGCCATCTCACTTTTGTAGGAGTATGTTCTACAGGATACAGGCAATAGCAGAGAAGGCACTTTCCTGGACCTCACTGGTTGGAATGCTTTGGCTGATATGGTCCACAAAATGCTTTCCCTACCTGACCAGGTGGGACAGGCTGATGTAGTGGGATGAAAACCTGTGCCATGTAGGGTTTTAAAGGTCATAACCAGTGGCGGATTTAATTTTTTTTTACTATCAGTTCTGTGGGCGTGGCTTACTGCAAAATCGCCATTCCTCCCCACCCCACTAACCTGCTTTCCAGCTCTGTTCTCCTGTGCAGGGCAACAAAAGAAGACCCAGCCGATCAGCTGGGACTCAGGAGGCAGAGAATAGATGGAGGCTGGGCCAGTCAGGGGTGGGATTTGCCAGTTCTCTGAAGTACTCAAAATTTCCATTACCGATTCTTCAGAACTGGTCAGAACCTGCTTAATATCACCTCTGGTCATAACCAACACCTTGAATTGGACCCGGAAGCAGAACACAGAATACAGAATAACAGAGTTGGAAAGGACCTTGGAAACCAGCATCCGATGCAGGTTGCACAGCAGAGGTATTTCATGTGCCATTCTTTGGGTGCCCAAGATTCCCTGAGCTACTACATTTTGTACCAGTGAAACTTCTGGATACTTTTCAAGGGCATCCCTGTGTAGAGCAAGGCTTGCCATATTATTAATCTATAGCATTTTTATAGCCTTTTCTACATAATCTAACACTATTAATTCTTTAAAATTTTATGGTACAATGTGTAGATGCTTTGTTTAATATCATTCCCTAATCACAGGACAACAGTGTTGCCAGGGTTTTCTAACAAAAATGTACTATGTGCAAGTATTATTGCAATACAAAGCAGTTCTATTAAAGTCATTTTTTG